ATGTCATAACTTCGATCGTCAAATAAGAAGAAGAAGAAGAAAAAAAAGTTTCTTGCATAAAAAATAAGACAAGATCGGAAAGATCAAATTATGAATGATTAATCGTCATCACTAAATAGCAGTAAAAGATATGAGAATAGCTAGTCATCATTTTCTTTTTTTCTTTTCCTCTAACCGAAAGACTCCATCTTACCTAATTGAATTCATCGTGCACATGATTAGTTATATCAACAAAAAAAAACTAACAACAACAACAACTACAAGAAGCGAACGGTGTGTAACGCCCATACATCCGCATGTAAATGCCTAGAGTAAATCTACCATTTGACAATCTTTTTCTTCTTCTTCTTCTCTAGCTTGATGTGTCCTTGTCTTCGTTAGTATTAAAAATAGAAAGACTCTAATACACAAGTCCATGATTGTAATCTACTCAAGTGTTACATCTATTCAAGATGATGTACATAAATATTTAGTCTAATTTCAGAATGAAAGCATTAATAAATTTAAGCGCTTACATTATAATATCTAGTTTTTAATTTAAAAAAAAAGAACTCTTTTCACTATTTTTCTATTCTCTCTATTATAATGAATATAATTTCTATGAATAAGAAAGCAAATAACGATAGTGTAAAACGTGTTCATTCAATTACAACGCACACTAATTCAAAATTTGCTAGAATATTATCAAATTTTGACAATAAAATCGATGTTCATGATTACTTTTTACATGAACGACCATTTGCTAATGTGAAAATCATTCTTAATCAACAAATCATATGGTGTGATAAAGCTTCATTAGCTTCTGCTTCACCGATTTTTCGTGAACAACTTATAAGAAAACCTAATGATGAACCATTAGTATTTAATGATATTAACTTAAATGATTTTCTATCGATGCTTGAATTTATTTATCCAATATTTAATCCACAAATAACTGAAAAGAATATTTCATGTCTTATTGAACTTTCACATCGATTTCAATTTGGTATAAATAAAAGATAAATTTTCTACTATATAAAAACTTTATTTAGATATGCTTAAAAATGCTTGTCAAATTTATGTTATCAAATATCTGAATACAATTCGACGTGTTTCTGATAATTGTCATAATTCAGAAGCGGAAGGAGATTGTTTTACTAGTAATAATAATAGTGGTGAAAATGAACGTCATCCACAACGTGATTTAATGTAAGTTGGGTTCAAATATAATATTTACAGACGATCATTTATATTTTATATCTAGAAATTTTACATTGTTTTTTTTTCTTTATTAAAAATAAACTTTCACAGTGAATTTCATAATCGAATATGTGTCGATGCTTCTGATATAATTACAGAATTATGTCGATGGTTAAAAACATACTATAATACTGATAATACACTTCCAACTCAAGCAAGTAAATTAATTTAAATAAAATATTTCTTTCATTGATGATTATTTTTTGTCTTCTAGTCATTTCCGTCTTAGAACAAATATCAATCAATTACCTTGAACAAGCCATGACTTCAGTTAATATTGACGATGAAATAAAAGCTTATGTTTATAAAGAACGAGCTCAATATCTCGAAAGAATATACCATATAAAACATAATACTTTCTAAAAAAAAAACTTTTTTTATGTACAAAATAATCGTTAAAATGTCGAAGAGAATTTATTTATCAAATGTTTTAATAACAGGAAAAAGGAACAATGTTTCCTTTTTTAGTTCTTTTGTAATAGATTACATGCTTTTTTCCTGTTCCGGTTTTCTCCATCAACGGTTAAGATAAAAGACGCAGATGTTATATGCATGAAAATATAAATATTCAAATGAAAAAAATAAAAAGTACATCATGCTATATATAGATATATACCTTATAACCTGCGAAAAACTTTTGTTAGAAATAAATATCATCGAGATAATTTCTGTGAAATGATTTACACGTCAAAGATCAAGATAACGAAGATTTGAACAATAAGTAAATAATAATTTCACAATACCAATAGTATCGATTAAATATTGACAACTACCTGACATACAACAAAAATAATATTTCTTCCACCTATCTTTACATTTTATGAAGAACTGATTATGTTCTATCAACAAGCATATTTTTATATGAAGATGACTTTCTCATTTTATATAATTTCTTTTTTCATAGAGTTCATTAGCTAATTATATAATAATATAGTCAAACGGAAAGTTATCGATCGTATATGCTTATTATGACATTTTTTTCCTATAAAAATAGTACCGTTTTTCAGACTTATAAAATTGTCGCTTGATAAGTTCTAATTTTGTGGAACTCACGTAAATTTTCGAAGAAAATCGTGAGTGTAAGTTTTAAGTTCAAGCTTTCAAGCTCCCCCCCCCACCCCTCCCCCCCCCCCTCAAAAAAAAATTCAATAAAAATAAGCAAAAATCATTAAAAATAGCTATAAATTGCTAAAATTTTAATAAAAATAATGAAAAAGCGTTAAAACTAGCTATAAACTGCGGAATTTTGTATAAAAAATAAACAAAATAGTAAAATATAGCTATAAATTAGTAGAATTTTAATAAAATTAAGCAAAAATAGTTAAAAATAGCCATAAATTACTAAAAATTTAATAAAAATAACGAAAATGGTAAAAAATAGCTAAAATTTTAATAAGATCAATAAAAAAGCGCCAAAAATAGCTATATTTTGCTGTAAATTTAATAAAATAACCAAAAACTGTCAAAAATAGCTAAAAATTAATTAAATTTTAATAAAAATGATGAAAAAGCGTGAAAATTGGCTATAAATTGCATGATTTTCTATAAAAAATAAGGAAAATGGTCAAATACAGCTATAAATTAGTAGAATTTTAATAAAAATAAGCAAAAATAGTTAAAAATAGCCATAAATTACTGCAAATTTAATTAAAATAACGAAAATAGCTATAAATTGCGGGAATTTTTATGAAAATAACGACAAATCGCTAAAAATAGCTGTATACTGCCGCAAATTTAATATAAATAACCAAATATTGTCAAAAATAGCTATAAATTAATTAAATTTGAGCAAAAAAAGAAGATAAAGCTCTTAAACATGATCAGATATTTCGATGCGAACAGACGTGAGTTCCACATTTTTAGCCCCAACAGGGCTGCGCTGATAAGCTTTTTTTGTATACAAACAAATATGTATTTAAATACTTAGAGAACTTCATTCTCGATGCTCGAAGATTCAAACTGATCACATCAATCAATGAGTTACCGATCTCTTCAAAAAGCATGCGAATTAGATATTTTGATGAACATGAATTTAGTTTATCAAGAACTTCGTTTGCATATTCAATAATATACACAGATATTTTTGTCAATGCACGTACTGAAATCGTATCTGTTTCATTAACTATAAATTATGAATCGTAATACTGTAAGTCTGAGCTAATTCTAAACATGCCGCTCTTTCGAACTGATGCACCTAACACACACATACATACAATAGCGATTGAGTTTTATTTGTCTTTCTGATTACTTATATGTATAACAGAAGAAAGCCAATGAAAAGATGCTTATCCATTAGTGGTCCAACAAACTAGACGGACGAAAGGAACTAAATCAGGAAGTACAATTAATATGCTCGAAAACACGATTCACATTCCTTAATCTTATTATCATTTGTCCAGTCTGTTTGAAGCATTATATAACCACACTTAACGTTCATTTTGTATAAATAAAATGTCGAAGTTACACGTAACTCGTGTTTACGCTCGATAAGAATCATCTAGATGGGAAAAACATTTTTCGCTTACTTCAACCAAAATCGATTGAATTGCCACATTTTGATGATATCTATAAACCAGATTTTGTGCACATTGTTTCAATTAAAATATCGTATTTGAATCTGACGAAGAAAAATTCGAGATGAAATTAACTCTGATCACTGGAAAAGCAGCTAGTTTACTGTCGAAAATACACTGTACTATTCGACCTGAGAAAAACAAATTTAATAGATCTTCGCCGAAAAATATATCTAAACATTTAATCAAGCTTTAGTGGAAAAGTAATCAATGAATTTCTTTTTATTCAATTGTCAAGTGACTTTCGTTACAAAAACCACAATATGTTGATTGTTTCGAACAAGCTTTCAAAATCGTTTTGACTAGATGATGTAAGTTAATTTATTATTTTGTAATATAGTACATTGACAAGATACGACCAAGATCTTTTTCCTCCTGATGATACACTTTTTGTCTTACAATAGTTAGTCTTGTTAGAAAAATATTAATATTAGTTGTTGGTTTTTTTCTTCTTCTGTAATATATTATGCACTTTTTCAGCTTATTTTATTATTATTAGTGATTAAAACAAGGAAAGAAAGTGTTACATGTGTCACTCGAGAAATATTCAGAAAAAGACTAAACAAATATATATTGTAATTAAAAAGAAAATCACTCGGAAATTCTGAGGAACAAATATCACAGGTATAAATTAAGCCAATTCTTCGTGAATATCACTATGATCAACTGGTGTATAACTTCGTTTAAAACAACTTTTGTATTGTTTTTTCCATATTTCTATTGTCGGGTCAGAGATTTTTCCACAAAATGATATATCAATAAATTCTAAATGTAAACAACGTTTAAGCATATATTCAATAGCTTGTTCGTTAATAATATTTGAACCAAGTAAATCAAGTTGACGTAATTTCGGACAATTATCACCTATTGCAACGATATCTTCATTACTTATACCTGTTGTATTTAAAGAAAATATAATGAATTTTAGTTGAAATTTTTTACTTACGTCGACAAGCTGTTAGAAATATTTTAATTAAAGAACGACCAGCTTGTTCAACTAAACTTTGTATAAAACCAGGTGGTGGATCAGTCCATCCAATATCAATTTCACTTAAATAAATCATATGTGTTATTGAATCAATTTCAACAGGTAAATTAACCATAGAATAAACTAATGCTAATTCTTCTTGTTGGTCAGCTGATAATTCTGAAAGTCGTGTTTCTTCGTCGTAAACATCATGTGGCAAACCAATAATTGATAGATAAGCATTATGTGATAAATCTTTTGCACGCCAAAGATCGAGAGAACGAAGATTTGAACAACGAGCAAATAATAATTTCACAATACCAATAGTATCTACTAAATATTGACAATTACCTAGAAATAAATAGAAAGAATAATATTTGTCTGATCTACCTTTACTTTTTCATTCTAACTGTCAAAACTGATTAATACTAAGGAAATATGTTGTATTTCTTAATAAGAAATAAAGATTCACAAAAAAAAACTAATGTAATTCATGAGCTTTTTAATTTGATATATATTGGAACTAAATGTCCGATGTGCTAGTGAAAGCTCTTGACAGTCTCAAAAACATGTTGTTAGAAACTTTTCTACTCGAATGTGTTTAAGAGCCACGGGCTATATTGCTAACCTTTGTAAAATATTTCTATACAAAAAATACGTACAAACGAATAATAGTTTAATATAAAATCAAGAGTGAACAACAGATAAATGATTTAGAAGACAGAATTTTGTCAATCATTAGATCATCAATGTAATTAATAGACATCTCTCTCTCTCGTATATTAAAACGAACTAAAGTTCAATGTATCTTACCTAAGTTAATATCTTCCAAATGTTCTTTATTATTATCAATTAATGGTAATAAAGTTTTAAAATCAATACTTGTTCGATAAACATTTAATGATCGAATATGACAAAGATTTTTTAATGGTATAAAATCATCAGTAGCTAAGCCAAAACAATTTTCGAAATTTAATATTTCGATATTTGAACAATAATTAGCAATTACTTCAATATGTTCTCCTTTTAAATATTGGCAACAAGCAAGATTTAATTGAATGAGATTCGTTGAACATAAATTTAATAATTGATTGAATGGTGATAATTCAATTGATTTTGTCCATGCTAATGAAAGATATCGTGTTTGAATACAATGATTTAAAAAGAAATTTTCTATAGAATTATTTGTAATTGTATTCCAATGCGGTTGTAAATCAACAGAAGAGAATTGTAATGGATGAAGACATTGTTCACGAAGTCGTCGACATGTTGATGAAAGTCGTATTAATGAATGTAAATCAAGATATGAACAGATTAGAAAAAGTATATCAAAAGGAAGTTTTGTTAAATTAATTTCAGAATTGAACTCAAATGTTTCTTCTTGTTTGCTGATAGTTTCCTAAAATAGAAAAATAAATTTATTTATGATGTTCTTTATCAACTAACTGTTGGTAATGTTTGATTTAAATTTGAAGTATAACCACGTAAAATAATTGTATCAATTTCTATATAATAATTTGCTGTACAATGATCAAATTCCAAACGAATATGTCGTGTCGGAAATGGAACTTTATTTTTTAAAGGAATTTTAAGTATACGTGGAATACGAGCAGCTGGCGGATATGTATGACGAGTATATATTTTCGATATTTGTTCATTATCCGTATTTAAATGTAAAGAATTAAGACTAGCTGTTGCAGAATTTATATGATCAGGAAACAGATCATGCATTTGTTGAAGACCTAGAATATGTATTAAAATGAAATCGTGTCAGATTTATATATGTAAACAAGTTGTACAATACATGAAAGATGAGATTGAAATAGCAACATGGGCGGCGAAGGGCGAGGGTGTAGATAGAGACAAAGTACCCTCAGCCACACCTCGATTAATAGTTAAAATTTGCAAAATCGAGCATATCCTAGAGTGAAATCGTTTCGCCGTCTATCATCAAGCAAGTAGACTGAAAGTTATGAATCCAGAAAGAATGAAATTCTTTTAAATACAATGATATGTATGCAGAATGTGTTTGATAGAGTTCATTTAAATCTTGTAGATATATGTCGTAGGCCATTGCTGGATTCAGACCAATCCTAGATTGACCTAGGCTATTCTAAGATCTCAGTTTGGCCTGGTTCAAAATAAATTACGTCGGAATCTGATATCAAAACTCACTTTTGATCCTGAAGATAATTTCAGATCTCAGTTTACTTATTCGAAAACTACAGCCAAAAGGGTATACTTTATACACAAATCATTGCATTTTGAGCAAAATTATCTGCTAACAAAGTTATTAATAGTTTTCTGCAAAACCTGGATTCATGGATGAAAATGCTTACAACTCTTTAAATAGATAATCTTGCTCAGAATGAAATGGTTGTGTATGAAGCATACCTATTTGGCTATAGTTTTCGAACAGGCAAACCGAAATCTGAAATTATCTTCATGGCCAAAACTAAGTTTTGATCTGAGGTTTGGACTCGATCCTAGTTTGAACTAGTCGAAACTGAAATCTTAGAATGACCTAGACCAATCTGAGATTAGCCTACGACATATATGTATCGGTATATTTTCTAAATATCGCTACTATAACTTGTAATTCAGTAAGTTGAAAACTTTTACATTTAACTGATAATACATGATTTCCTCTAGATTAGAAAAAAATGTTCTAAACATCTTCCCTCATATGAATCATAGATAAAGTTTTAATTATCTATTTTCATCTACAATTATTTTAATTGAAAAAATTTGTTCAATAGAACACAAAGTTATCATATACACAATTCACCCGTTCATAATGTACAGGAGACAATCAATACAGAACAGAGAGAGAGAGGTCAAAAAGAAGCTTGCACCTATGTTCATATTAGACAGGTTATAGTAATGAAGGAGACTGAACACAAAAAATGTTCAATGTTTAAAATAGAGAGGTATTCACATTAAAATAAAGTATCTATTATTAAAAAAATCATTCAGTTAAACCTTGAATATGTTATTGAAAGGGATGTTATTGTATAATGATTAGGGTTTTTAATAATATAAATTCTTACCATTTTCAATAAAAATTTCTTGATCATCTTTTAAAACAATACTAAATGGTTCAGGAAATTTCCATACTCGATGCCATGTTATATTTCTATCATCATCTTCTTTTCCAACATAAACAACTTCAAGTGTACCGGGATTATATGTTTCATATATATTTAAACTTATACATTCATAAACTAAACTTGAATATTGAATATCAATAAAATCTCGACTAGTAAATGTCTTCTGTTCACGTTTAAAATTCTTTCTTGTTTGTTTATATGATGGCATATTTAACCACCATGGCCCATACGTACGAAAAACAAGTGCATGAGTTGAATCACCATACTGAGGATAAATTTCTGGCAGTGCACAAATATTTTCCATATTATAATTTCTACCACGATTTGATCCATATTGAGATGAGAAATCGAGAACATTTGATGGAATTTGTTCAGTAATTGATCTGTCTGATTCATCTGATTCACTCATACTAAGAATAGAAAGAAAAAAAATGTTCACAACCTTCAAAGTCATCAATGAATAAATGAAGCAACGTGTTTGTTAGATACATTACAAACATCAAGAGTCAAGGATACAAGATGTCTGATTGCTTTTTTTTTTGTTGTAACAAAAAAAGAAAATCAATCATGTGTCTCTTTATACATACATATATATATATAAGCGTAACATATTCATACAAGACATAAATTAATGGCAACTTTAACTTTTGATGACGAAAATCTTGCAGAAACGGATGAATATTTTTATGAGAATGCAAATATGATTGATTATGAACCACTTTATAGGAATTTTACAGCGATTCAAAATGATTTATTACAATATGATGAACAAATACAATTAAATACAGTATGTTAATAGTATTTCGTGCATGTGTGAAGAACATTTTTATTATATTTAATTAATAAATATCTAACAGGTAGTAGTAGAACCGTTCTGTATTCATTCTGTTTCGTCTATACTTTGATACAGACGAGTCAACCTTTCTTTTTCTTTTAAAAATCTATTCTATATTTGTTCTATGAATATTGTTTATCAAGTATATTTAATAGAGCATAGTAGCTTTGCGTTACACACTGATTACTGTGACTATATAAAGAGAAAACATTTTTATAATATCAAAATGTCTACCACACTTCGACTAATTTTATCAGAATTAGAAAGATGGCAATCCGAATTAGGTGTAAGTACAAATTGATTAGAAAATTAGACTCAAATTCGAAGTTTTATAAAACAAAATAAAAGACATTCACTTGACTCTTCTATACTACTAACACGATCAGCGGTGGCGCGACCGGCGGGGTGTAACACCCCCCAATCTTCGAAAATTTCTATTTTTTGCTCAACAAAATCGGCAAATCTTCTTAAGTTTTTTACCAAAGATGATACTACACCCCCCCCCTCCCCCATATTGTTTGACTCGCGCCACCCCTGAACACGATGTATAATAAGTTAGACAGTTAACAAGCAGAGATGCAGAATCTTCCTCGAGCAGCCCCGCGCCAGGGGAGAGGGAGAATTTTTGGTTTTTGAAGAGATTCTGCACCTCTGTTAACAAGACTATACTACTCTTAATTTTATAGAAAATTTCAGCAGAAAGCAATTATCGAGGAGACGCAAATGACTGTAATTAACAGATTTAGTCCTTGTCAAATTACGAGAAAAATAACATTTTGTAGTTTCTCAGTATGAAATACAATTAAGTTTGATTCCGTATGCAAAACTTCTCTTTAAACTGTAGTTAAATTTCCATTAGAAGTCGTAAACTAGAAATCATCTATTTAATATTCATTTCTAATTTAAGAATACTAGCGCAGTATACAGTGTTTTTCAAGTGCGCGAAATCAAGAACCCTGATAGTATATAGATTCAGAATTTCTTTTAAAAGTTTTTTTTTATGTATATAATAAAAGGTCAAACAACTGTTCAAAAAAATATATCACGAAATTTTTATTGAAACATATAATAGTCAAATTGTAGTAATTGTTATAAATGTGAAAAGTTATGAACCTTAAAATTAACAATTTCGATGTCTCAATTCATATTTCACTAACCTTGAGTCAATAAAATTGAATTTTTTTTCGAAACAAAAAAATGAGATGTGATCGATACAATTTTAAATGAGTACTCTATTGATGAACAGTTCGTTCTTATAGAAAAAAATTTACAACATACGTGTAGCGTACAAAGTTTCAAGCACATCTTTTGGCCATTAAAATTATTTTAGGTATGAATATATTTTATAAAGAAAAGTTTTATCAAATAAATCATGATTTAACTCTATCTGAGACTTCTGTATCATATTCGTAGAACAGTAAAATGAATGCGAAACTTTCGTGTAATATTTGTTACTTCATAGATTCTTAATAAAGGATAGAAAGTTGACTATAGGGAAAAGTAAGTTCATTTTATATATTTATAGATTCAATCATTTGATTCAACTAATATTAAATACGAAACTGAACCTGTTCATTTAAATGGAAATGCTGATGTAAATTTTCCAGATCTATCAAAAACAACCGATCGATCTATACTCAATCTAATTCAAATTATTGAAGACATTGGTTATAATCCTCAATCACCATTTCTAAATTTCTCTTCTAATAAAAATACACTTTCAAATATGACATACAATCACGATGAAGTTCATGAATCATGTGCAAATAATCCACCTATACATATAGATAGACAATATTATCAAAGTTGGTATCATGACAGGTATCGACGTTCTGCATCAATGATTCCCTATTATTCAGTAAATCAAGCATGTCGAAATACAACACAAACACAGAGTGATGATAATCGATTAGATAGTGTTAATCAATCTTCTGTCAAAACTGACGTAACAGTTAAACAAATGAGTGATAATTGTTTTCAAAATAAAATTAATCTAATATATGGATCTGATGATCTTGATACAATAAGTTCTGTATCAAGTCATTATTCATCAGTTGATGGAAAGAATTCTCCAACAGTATCTGAACGATCTGTTACACCAATAACATTAAAAAAAATTGAGAATTCTAAACCTAAACAAATTACTATTCGTGAATATTATCCAAGAAAAGATGTACAATCACTTATGGTAAATGGATCAATATCTCCAAGATCCCAAAGAAATATTCACAATAATTCTTATGAACAAAACCTCTATAACAATTCCTATGAACAAAATCGTCGCAATAATCGCTATGAACAAAATCTTCACAATATCCCTTATGAACAAAATCGTTACAATAATTCCTATGAACAAAATAATTCTTATGAACCAATTATACATAATTGTACAGATATGTATCAAGATCCAAATACAGACATTATCACAAAACCAAATCCAGATAAAGTCGTTTATAAACAAAAAATTACTGTTCGTTATCTTGTTCCACCAACACCTCCAGTACCTGGACCATTGATTATTCGAGGTACATATTTTTCATATTGAGAATATTAGTAATTTATTTTTATTTTTCAGAGATTCTTCCTCCACGTCCACCATCACCATCTCCACTCATAATTGAACAACAAGAACCAGCACCACCCACACCATCTCCTCTTATTCTTCGTGAAATGCCACCGCCACCACCTCCCATACAAGAACCTAAAATCATTACAAAGATGGTACCTCAAGAATCTCAATCTTCACAACATGCTATTGCAGAATCTAATCATCCCGTAGATTTATTTTCTTTTATTCTTTATATTTCATCTTACATAAACTATCTTTCTAGTTACCACCAAAACCTCAATCAATTATTATCGAAAAATGGTTACCATACAAACCATCTCCACCACGAGAAGTCATTTATGAACGTGTAGTTGAATCTTCTTCTTCAGCAGCAGAATTTCAACCAACTGATACAATTACCAATTGTGAAGGTCGTAATTCAAATTCCATTCCTCGTTTATCTATTCCTGTTCATATTGAACAATCAAAATCATATGATTATTTAGACAAACAACAACAACAACCATTATCAGCATTTGATCAATTAGCACAAGCAACACAACAACAATTAGAAGCCATACAACAACAAGTTGTTAAACAAATGCAAATACAACAACAATGGTTAGCTAATCAACATCAACAACATATGAATATGTGTATGCAAATGCCATTAACATTAACAACACCAGCACTTGTTATTAATCATCCACCAATTACAAGAACAACAAATCTTTATACAAGTACAGACGCCTTTCAACAACAAATCTTTTGTCAACAACCCTTTATGTATCCTTCGTATATATAAGATACTACAAGAAAATAAATCATATACTGATCTATTAACTTAATCTTAGTTTAATTTTTTAACGAAGTATATATGAACTAAAAGATTTTACTAAGTTTATTGTATCAAATTTAGACTAATAGGAATTATCTCATTTTCTTTTCATCTCTGTAAAATATTTCCTATAGTAACAGTATATATTGTTTTTTTGGAAATTAAGCAGCACTTAAATTCTGATAATAAAATGTGTCGTCTATCTACACTACACGTGTTGAAACTAATCCCTAGTTTTTAGTTACATGTCGAAAAAATAGCTTTCGGTCTTAATATAACAAGCTCGAGTAAAATGATCTACATATTTAATTTCAAAGCTAGACATAGAAAAAATGTCAAATAATACTAACGATTACTAATTTCTATCAATAATAGACCATAAATGTAAGGCTATATGTCAATAAAAAATCATTACCTTCAATTTTTGTTGTGTAAATTGAAACGATGTTTTAATAGTTCGATTGCTTTTTAAATGAAAGTAATTATGCAATATTTTCATCAATATTTGCAATTACTGTTATTGTATTTCGTTAAATGAAACTCCATCTATCATTTGAATTTTAAAAATTCTCTTACAATAGATATAACTCAAATGTCTATTTATAAAATATAAAATAAAGTTTTATTTTCATATCTGTAATTATTATGATATACAAACAACATGAGATTTCAATATCTTTTAATTGATTAGTTCTTCTATTGACCAATTATAGACTCAACCTTTCTTCTATCACATCATACGACAATGTGTGTTGGTGTCTTATCACTTTTATTTGAAAACAAAATATGTCGAGTGCAACTTCAATGCAAGAATCATCTTCGGATGAACGACGTTTTCTTCATTATACAATGAAAATAACGAAACGTTTAGAAACAAGAAATTTCTTTTGTAATATATTAGGTATGAAAATTTTACGTCATGAAGAAATGGATTCGGGTTGTTCAGCACAATGCAATGGTGATTATCAATCTCCATGGTCAAAAACAGTAGCGGCTTATGGAGATGAACATTCATTTTTTGCTTTTGAATTAAATTTTAATTATGATGTCGAAGGATATAAATATGGAAATGATTTTTCATCTGTAACAATACATAATCGACAAGCTGTTGCGAATGCTCGTCAACATCTTGACAATCAATTTATCGAGAAGGATAATCAACAATCAATAACAATTCGTTCACCTGATGGTCATCATTTTATATTAATTGATGAAGATGTTCGTCCAGGTGATGATCCTGTTCGATGTTTATCATTAAATGTTTCGAATTTAACTAAATCTATTGATTATTATACACGTTTATTAAAAATGAAAATTAACGAAAAAGAATCAAATGATAAACATGTTAAACTTTATTATGGTTTAACAACAAATCAAGAATCACAAGTTCAAACAAAAACAGGTTTTCTTATTGATAAACAATGTCAATTAGAATTAATTGGACTTAATCAAGCAATTGAACGAGGTACCGGTTATGGTCGAAAAGCATTTTCATGTCCAAGACATGATATTGATATACTACAAAAAATGATGGAAAAAGAAGGATTTACTGTACTTATACCTGCAATGGAATTAGGTGGATTATTAGATTTTAATAAAGAAAAAATTGTGATTTTACAAGATCCTGATGGACATGAAGTAAGTTTTATAGCCTATAATAAAATCTCTCTATCGTACACCATTTTATTATTCAAGCATTTTTCTTTGTGAGAACGAGAAGAAAACAATTGTTAAAGTAATCTTTGAATGAGCTATAGCTTTGTGACATATTAATCTAGATGAATATCTGTTGTTATGAATGGAGATTAGAGTACGGTGATTCCAAAAATTACCGGGAACTGGAACCGCGGTTCCGGTCAGGAGAAATGAGCGGTTTCGGTTCGGTTCCGGTATGGTTTTCGGTTTAATTTTTTTCAGAACCGTCGTATCCTAGTGGAGATTGAGGACGGAATCATAGAGTTGTGACCACGGGTGGCGCGACCGGGGGGGGGGGCTATCGAGGGTGTAATATCCCCCCCAATCTTCGAAAATTTCTATTTTTTGGTCAACAAAATCGGCAAATCTTCTTAGGTTTTTTACCAAAGATGATGCTACACCCCCCCCCAGAAATTCAAGAAAATTTCGTTACACCCCCCGCCCAATGTTGGTTGACTCGCGCCACCTCTGGTTGTGACTATTATATGAAGTACGAGAGATGAATTGGTCACCATTCTATTTGTTATATATATGTGTTTATTTTTCTATTTAGATATGTTTTGTTGGTGAAGAAAATTATTACAAAGGATGCGAAACTGATTGTGATGCTGAAAAGAAATTTTTAAAAGGCCTTGAAAATAAACCTGATGATCCAGATAAATATTTAATCGGTGAAGATGAATCAACAAAACGACATGAAAAATCATAGACAAATAATTTTTATATTTATATTTATTTATTTTTTCTTTTGTCCAGTTTTTTTTTATTCCAGCTTTCGCTTGATATTATCATTGTTAGCTCAGCTTTAAAAAAATTATTTTTAGATGGAAAAAAATTTAATTTTTGAATTAGAACAACAATTAAATAATCTTGATATTGATAGTAACAAAGTAGATGCAATTATTCAATTAAAAATTTGGCAAAAAAAAATGTTTTCATTAATTGAAAAAATCTATTTAAATCGTTTGAATGAAATTGATACTATTGCATTGAATATAACAAATGAAATAAAAGATAAACAAAATCAACTTGAAAATATTCAAATAAATGATAAAACTACTCTATTAAAATTACAACATGAAATTGATCAATTAAAATCTGATATTATTATTGATCAAATGATTCCTGAGAATTTATATCATCAGATCGAAAGAACGATTCATATTAAACGTGATGAAAATCAAGATGATGATGATGATGATTTAGTTATTATTGATATCGAAAATAATGAAGAAAAAAATGAAAAACATATTAAAGTCGTTCTTTCGTCATCTACAACTACTAATTCAGAAAATCGTGTTTCAAAAATATTTAAATCTGAGCCTGTACAACAAGCACTTACTATTGGTTTAACTCAAACATTAACTCATATGGGTACTATGGCAGCAACAAGTACAACAACTATTGCTGCAACAGCTATAGCTAAAACAGCTTTATTAACAACTGCTGGTGGAATAGGCGCAATGGCTTATGGAATAGGAAGAGTTGCTGCAGGTACAACAATAAAATTGTGGTCATTTGTAAACTCATAAGATAATTAATAGTAATGAATTTATCGAATCTCCTTTTTTATTATTAAATATTTTCTTTTTTTATAAACTTTGTATTATTTTCTAAATGTAGCGATTAAAATGACGATTCATTTTTCATAATTTAACTCAATAAAAAGTCATGATAGACATAAATTATGTATAGAAAATTTGTCAAACTTGATCTAAAAATGAGAATTATTGTTGTTTAATTGAAACTATGTCTCTCATCTGTAATTGTTTAGGAGATTGTTGATTGTGATATACAAAAAATATTTGAATTTTTATCATTTATGTTTTTATATTTATAAATGTCCTTATCGATGCTATAACAATACTGACATCAAGTTTATCACGAATATCCATTACAGTAATTATCATGGTAGTCTATTGAAACAGTTGTTGCGAAGTCCGTATAAGCAACATAAAGTATTAAAAGGTCTACTACCTGTCTGTCCAAAAAACGTGGAGTTGAGTATTTTTCGAATAACTCGAGAACAAAAAGAGCTAGAGAGCTGTGGGTTTCACTATCATGTAGGTAACTGAGTACTCCATATATCTATCAATATACATTGAACAATATACATATGTAAAACATGCAACAGATAGTCCAGAGGCCCCCCTGCAAAATGACGGCGTGGGTGTGGGTGTGGGTGTGGGTGTGCGTCTGAATGTGATAGAAATACGATACCTATACTTATACCCACATCCACACTCACACCCATACCCTCCGATTGAATTCATAACAGAACAGTTTAATATTGTTGTATCCAATTATTTTTCTTTATTTATTGTATATCAATGATTTTATATATAAAGTGATGATGACAATAATGTAACAAATCTTAATAGAATAAACTTGAAATAAATAGTTTTATTATTAGTTATTATAAAATAAACTAGAGCTTTCAGCACTTCGAGTGCCATCGTCAGTAG